TTCACGCTCTGAAATATAAGGAAAATTACAATTGGTCGCATTGTTGAGAATCAGAATTGAGACATTTTATATACCTTCGGGTCATGAATAAAATCAAGGAATAGAGTAATTGGGAGGAACATTCCGCGACCACCTATTGTTCCATTTATACCCACAGCTATGCCCACGATTTTGCCATTTGTTTTTGAAACGACTGGTCCACCCGAATCGCCCGCTGTAATAATTTCACCATCTTTTGTAGAATCACCAGTGGTAAAGTACAAAGCCTGAACTGGGTTGAATGTGTTGGCTCGTTCGACATCAGATATATAGTTTGCATCGCAACGCCTCAATATCTTTGGTCCGATGTTGTTCAACACACCATACCCATATACAGTGACCACTTCTGATGAGTTATTCAATTTGTAATCTTTGTCCACGAGTTTGATACTGCCAACGGTATCGCTGAACTCTAATGGTTTTTCCAGTGTAATTTTGGCAATATCAAATCCACCAACAATTGATTCATTATAAAGAGGATGATATGCAAATCTCCCTTTTTCGACTTTGATTAGGTTTTTTTCTAATGCAACTTTCGTACCAGCTACCACATAAATATATGGGGCGCCAGCCACACAATGAGCATTCGTGATAATTTCCGTTTTTGACAGAATAAATGCGGTACATGTAGACAGCATTTCTCCATAAGCATCAGTTAACTTGTCTTTGAATAGATACAAATATCCTGTAATTAAATCAGTACAAGCAAAAATGAACACACACAATTGATAGAATATTTGAATCGAAAATTCACACGAAAAAAAGAATAAAAAAATGATTCTAAACCAGACTTACTTGCGGGGGCATAGATTCCAGCTACAAACTTTGCCTGTGACATGTTTTCAATCACTTCGCCCTTAAGTAGAGCTTGCGAGAAGAAGCCATCTGTTCATTTGAAAAAAAGTTAAAATTTTGAATAAAATATGATAACCAGGCCAACCAAAAATATTTAAATAAATATTTTGGCATTTTCTGACCATGAATGAATATTTCTCAATTTTTGACTTTTTCGTAAATATTTTAAGATTTTTGACGTCTTTTCAGAAATATTTTTGAGTATTTTTCAAGCAATGATAAATATTTTAGATGTTGTACATATTTCGCAATAAAACATGAGTCATATTCCAAGACAAAGCATTCCAAATACACTTTGCACGTCTCTGCATGACTTTGCAAATCAAAGACAATGGAATTATATCGAATTGTGTCACTTATAATCAATCAAAACACTAAAATTGCAATTCTGCAATGTGTGCTGTTTGCATAGTAGACACTGTACAGTGTATACATTACTGTGTAGACGTTTACAGATTTTAT